ACTCTTGTTTTGAACTTGTGGTACCTTCAGGTGCTGCCAATATAGGATTTATTGCCAAGAAGCTTTGTTACATCAAAGAAACAATCTACAAAACACATACATTTTTAACTTTTGACAGCTTAAAAAAACATAAAACTGCATCAAACCACAAGATCTAAATKGAGTTGTGACCAAATTAATATTTATAATTTAAATAAATATGATTTAGTGTCAGCTGTACTACAATTACAGTTTGTTTATTTAGTTTTAACTATACACTGTAATTTAAACAACCGTCCAGCCCTGGACAGTCATTAATTATACATAAAAAGAGCAGAAGGAAGGTCACAAACACCTGTGTGTAGGGGGGTAAATAATAAGATTGATATTTAAAGCGGTCTTGAACATCATTTGTTTTTAGCATTTCTAAAAGCAACAGATGTAAAAATAAATCCACCTATAAATTCATTATGCCACTCACAATACTAAAACTTTCAACCAGGGGAAAGCACTAAAATAATATTTTTAGTTTGAATTATAAAAACAAAGACAAGAATTGCAACATGACGCTTTTGTACTGAGCCCATCTGGTGACACTGAATAAAAAAGATTAATGTGTGGCCAWGAGATWATAATTCATGGCCACGAGATAATTTTGAGCCGCAACGTCTTTTTCTGAGAGATGCAGACATTAGCTATGTTTACATGGACRYAAGTAATCGGATTAAACGGCCATTCGGAATAAAAATGCGTCATGTAAACACTCATCATGTTCAGTTTGTGCCTATGTAAACAATCCATTCAGATTATTTAATCCGAACACATTTATCAAAGAATTTTGCGCATGTAAACATAGCTACTGGAGTCAGATTATATATGAATACGCTGTTTTTGTTTTTAACTTATTATTATTATTGGTGTAATCCAAAGAGTTTAATTCCACGGTTCAATCTAAACAGTTAATTTTTCACACACTTGTATTTACGAGGTGAAACTGAAAGCTTTAAGTGTGTKTCGGGAAGCAGATTATTTTTACTGTGTTCCTGRASGTAACATAACCCAACTCCTCCAGCAGCAGAGGCACACTGTGAGGAGGAGGCCATTTTGAGTGTTGAGCTTCAAAAAATGAAGCTTTTTGGATAAAAGCAACTCCAGTCACCACCTGTGTTTTATGCCTATGACATATAACATGAAGAACTACTGCATGCCTAAATGTAAAAGTAGTATTCCATYCATTAAAATTTAATTAGGTCAAACTTGTCCATGTTAACAATAAACAGTCATTGAAATGACTGCAATTACTATCTCGTGGCCACTAGTTATTGTTATAGCTACACATTGTGTTTTATTTTATCCGATGTCACCAGACGGGCTCCATACTTTATACAGTTCAAGCTTATCTTTTCTAATTTCTTGAATAAAAGAGCTAATAATCCATTTTAATCACCCGCTGTCAAAAAGCAGTAACGCAGATTATTAAAATGAAGGTTATTTTTAATCGCCTGTGCCTTTCTGTTAGCAAATTATCTCATGAACCAGTGGACAGATTTTAATGAAACTATCTAGAACTGATTATCTTTTGGAGCCTAATCACTTGAGATGTATTGCAAATTATATCTTCAAGCTTTGACCAAACAGGATATAAATAACCCAGTTGTTTCTCACTATAACAGGATCTCAGTTTTAAACTCTGGCATCAAATGTGATGGGCAACATGCAATCCTGCAAAGAACAGATTTGCTCCAGAATGATTTAATGCTGACATCTGACTCTAAACACTATATATATA